TACTACTACTACTACTACAAGTACTGGTGATAATACTGAGTTGGTCACTGACTCCCTGCTACTGGTACTATGTCTGTTTTTATTCTTTGCCTCCGTTCTGTCGTGTTTATCAAGGTCCAAGAATACTTTCGATCTGTGCTTGGGTAGTCTTCCAGCCACTGTTACAACTGTTGTGCCTGGCTATACAAGGTTTTGTGATCTGCATGATTCCATATACGGTTCGATGCTTTTGCGCTGTAACAGCAGCATGATCTGCTGCTTTGTTTACAAATCTGGATGGTTGTGTCGTGCAATGCTCCGTGTTCTTATGTCGGCAGTCGCTTGTGCTACTGCAATTAATGCTTTTGTCTGCTACAAATAGACATCAAGCCATGTCCTACTTCTGCTGCGGTTTTTACAGTTATGCAGCAATTTTGCTGCAGCTGCATCTCACGGTGCAGTGATGTGTGTTCTCCCAGAGCTTCCCTGGAGACCGAGAGGTCGTGCTTTCATCTGTATCGGCTACAGCGGACGGAAGTGCTTCGAGCTGCCATCTTCCGTGGGAGCCCCAGTAACACCAACGGAGGTAAATGATGGCTCAGGTCGCCACGAAGCCCTATCGGACGAGAGGCGTCGTGGTGCTCAGGGTCGCATCTTTCACCTGTCAGGTTCAGCTCCGGAGGTGTTTCTTCCACTGGAGCTCTTGGCTGCGGCGGTTCGAGAGGCCCAGAATCCACCAGATTCACAAAACGAATTCGCAGCACCCTGTGATGCCGAAGGCTGCGCCGGAGCTTTCCGACGACGAGGTGTCTCAGGTTTGCCGACTGGCGCGCGCGCCTCAGTTACCCTAGGCTGGCGGTGGCCTTTCTCGAAAGTTCCCATTTTCGGTACTGTGGAGACAGCTTCGTGGTGGACAGAGGCTCAAAGCTTCCATGTCAGGCTCCAGCCATGTGCACAGAGATTGACTGGGACCGTGTCTGGCAAGAAGATTTCTCAGCAGTGAAAGAGTTCTTCCATGCCTGCCTGGAAGTTCGGAGTAGTCCAGAAAGTGGTCGAGGAGTATGGGCAGCAGGGCCGCTGAGAGTTGGGGAGCTTCTTGTCGCTGAGAGAGCTTTGGGCGTAGCTCCGGAAGCTGAACTGGGGCCAACTCTGGCGAAGATGCAGTCAGACCTGGACCTTCGCAATGTGCTAGCAGCAGCTTTTGCTTGTCTTGCCTCAAACTAGTCAGAGAGAGCTTTCACTTTCGTTTCTTTCCGAAGCTCCGATCCGCCAGGCCCCACTGAATTGGAAACGGCTGAACCTGATGTGTGACGGGGAGGAGCTGCCGACATTCGCGGATGCAGTGCCGCTGCCAGCATGGCCGAGTCAGGCATATCCACTGTGCCCGGAGCAGTACAGCCCAGAACATGCCATCTCTGTGCGACGAATGAGCCGAATCGTTGACTTGAATGCATATCGGTGCGCTTCCCCTGTGAGTGAATACGCGTTCATGGACGGTGAGCCGCAACGAAGCGAACAGGAGCGTCACGAGAGCTATGGCGTGTTTCCCTTGGCGTCCTTGTTCAATCATGCCTGCACGCCGAACATGTCGAAGGTCTTACTCAAGGACTGGGTGTTGCTGAGGGCGGCGCGTGAAATCGAAGCAGGAGAGGAGCTGACCCAATTCTATTGCGACATACGGATGCCTGTTGAGATGAGACAGAAGGAGCTGCAAGATCTCTTTGGTTTCCTTTGTGGCTGTCAAAGGTGTCGCTTCGAGCTATTACTGCAGAAGACGGAGCAGGACCTGGAACCCTGGAGACGACTCTACAGCTCAGAAGTCCCAGGATTTCATCAGAAGTTGGGACCCATCCAGGTGTCTCAGCTTGAAGGCCTCGTCTGTGAGGCAGAAACAGCGGCCCGAAGGTCCTTTAAGAGCTTCAAGAGAGAGCAAAGCGACGCTGCAGAGAGCTGGCTTCTGTGGCCCCTGGTGCCTGCATTCCAGCAGCTTGCGGCGCGGCTACGGCTGGACGGCCGACGAGCTGAAAGCATGGAATTCTGGAAGCGAGCGGAATCATTCGCAAGAGCAGTAGTTCCATTATCCAATATACATCTCCACATCCATGCTGAGATGCTTCTAACAAAGTGCAGCAAAGAACTGCTGGAAGAGAGTCTTAGAATGGTGGCCGCAGCATTTGGTGGGGGTTCAGCCGTGTGGCAGAGGCTATTTGGCTTTCGGATGACCAGAGAAGTAGCAGAACTCGCCGACGTGTGCAGCTCCAGCCTAATGCCTGAGCCGTCTCCGATCCACTATCAATGGGCGAGGTCGGCCAATGGTACTTCGGAGCTCCTGACTCTTTGGTCGACAGCCTTTGAGCGACAGAGTGAAATTGTGGTTGATGTGTCGCCGGAAGTGGTTATTGTGAGCGCACCAGGTGCCCTTCAGCAAACTGTCAGATGCCACTTCAAAGCAAGGGTTGATTCCATCCTTACCAAGTTCTCGAAGCGCCGTCGATGCCTGACGCTGCACATCCCAATGGAGCCGGACAGCGCATCGGAAAAGAGTCAGCGGCGCAGTCTCTGCACCCCAAGCGCCCACAAACTGCCACAAGCCCTAAGATCTAAGCCCTAAGCCCTAAACCCTACACCCTACACCCTAAACCCTTAAACCCTTAAACCCTTAAACCCTAAACCCTAATAAACCCCAAACCCTAAGATCCCTACGCCAAGGCCTCAGAAAGGCGGCATGCTGCATGGAGAGGCCTCGCGGACGAAGTCTCCACAAAAGTCACCCAAGGGGGTGTTTCTCTGATATAAAATAATATATTAGAATATAATATAATATAATATAATATAATATAATATAATATAATATAGTATAATAAGTGTAATTGTGTAGGCAGAGAGACCTGGTGCCAGGATGCCTATTCCTATGGCCATCTTCTGGAACGTCTTGAAAACGACAAGAAGGAGCACAGAGATTCGTCTAGCAAGCGTCACAGAGCGATGTCCGGACCAGCACACTTCTGTCGCTCTTGGGCTCTTGGCGAGGATTTCCATCCCTTGAACCTGCGTTGGCGACCAAGTTTGAGACCCCCCTTTCTATTTTGTGCAGCTCACCGCGCTGATCCTGGAGCGCATACCTGTAGCCTGATAACCAGATTGGCAGTCCGATCAGTAGGATGATTGACTTCGCATTGAGGTGAGCGTGGCCCAGCCGCCGACATGTGCCGCTACATCGACCAGCGACTTCAGGCAGGAAGGATCTGGCTCCGCAAGATGCAACATGTGTGTGTGTGCTAAGTACGTTCCATGACTGATGGACTTCCCACAGAAAGACCAGATGATGAGTAGAGCGCACGGTCGCGGCTGACGAATGTTGGAAGATCTTTTTTAACTCAACAACAGAAGCTGTGATAATCGCAGATTTAAGAAGACAATACATGGCTCCACGCGTTGGAACTGATCTCAATTCCCTTTCGCAGCAGCTTACTTCCCAAGATTCAGACTTGGGAGCTTATAGGACATTTGTTACATCGTTTGTTGAAGGAGATAGGATCTGATTCTCCCTGTCAGTTCGTCCACACAGTTTTCGGCTACGTAGGGTTATATCAGTCTACCATGGTTTCACATTTTCTGGATGAACCTGCTCCGTAATGGAACCCGATTGAAACCTAGACTCTGATAGAGCCCTCGGCTCCAAACCCGAATAGAACCCAAAAGCCCCCAGTAAGAACCCTGAGCCCTAGAAGAGCTTTAAAGCCACAACTCTACAACTCTGAGCCCCAAACTAAGACCCTCGGAGCTCACATTTTATAGATTACCGCGGTATCGAAAGTCGATGTCCCTACCCTAACCCCCTAAACCCCTAAACCCTAAATCCTAAACCCTAAACCCTAAATCCCCCTAAACCCTATACCTTTTTACAGTGTAGCCCTTATAGGACCCTTTAAAGGAGCCCTTTTCTTGAAAGCCTCTCGGAAGGCCCAAGGCTTCGTCTCTTTGGCTTCGGCCATGCAAGACGCGGAGGCCCGGGCTCGGGTTTTTGGAGTTGCTTTGGGTTTTAGGGCTTTAAGGGTTTAGGGTTTTAGGGCTTTATGGGTTTAGGGTTTTAGGGCTTTATGGGTTTAGGGTTTTAGGGCTTTATGGGTTTAGGGTTTTAGGGCTTATGGGTTTAGGGTTTTAGGGCTTTATGGGTTTAGGGTTTTAGGGTTTTAAGGGTTTAGGGTTTAGGGTTCAGGGCTTTAGGGTTTAGGGTTTAGGGTGGACTCCCTGATTTTTGTTGGTCTTGTTTGGGCTTTCTTTGTTTTTTTTTGCGGCTATTGTCATTTAAGTTGGGGGCCTGAGGGTTTTGATTTGGGAGCCGAACAGTGTCAAGAACCGCGAATGTAGGCATTTTTCGTGTTGTTTACAGATTGTTGGAGGTGTTAGCTAGCAGAACCATGTGATGGTTGTTACTCTTTTTTTGTGCCAGGTGCTGCGAGCCACAGCCTCATGTCCGGATTTCTTACGGGATTGCCAGCTACTTTGCTGCCATACCGAGGCTGACATCCTCCTCGATCGACTTCTGAACTACTTGCCGCAACCGATTCGTCAAGAGGCTGCGGGCATCTGTATGACAGTCTGACATGATTTTTCACGATGAGGAAAGCACATCCCCAGGCCTAACTCCTGAAAACCAAAACCGTGAGCTTCAATGTTTTTTGATTGACTGATAGACTCTGATAGACTTTGTGATGCTGGAAGGACCAGCGCGTGGTGGAGAACATGCTCCGCCTGGGCCGCCCGTTGCGCGCGTGGCTTAAGGATTCACCGGCTTGTGTGCATGCCTTGTTTCACCCGCAGCAAAGGAGATGGCATGTTGGATGCCGCAGAGCTGGACGCCTGGAAGCCGCCCAACGCTTTTTGTGGCTCCAGATACTTTTCTGGAATTTTCAGGTTCTGCCAAAGGTTTGAGCTGCTGGCACGCAACGGTGCCGTTGCTGGCCGGGAGCCCGTTGCACCGGCCTGGCTCCCGGTTGTCCTTCAAGGCATGCTGCACATGGAAAGTTCGCGCACGTCTGAAACCGGCATCGGGATGCATCTGCTGAACTCCAAGCTGCAGCACAAGACTTGGAGCCTCAACAGTGTACCCTGGTAGCTTTCGAAGCCATGCATCACTACGTGCTGGACGCAGTGACCTTCCGACAGTCTGAGGTGAGTCCCTCACGGTCTGCCCGTGACACCAGACTGCAGCTGAGGGAGAAGCCATCGCCTGAATTTGGAGAGCTGCACATACAGCCCGTGACTTTTTGTGACCTTCTGCCGGCGCCACATGTGGCCCCATGCGGCCTCGGCTGAGGGTTCGGCTGCCAAGCGCCTGGTTGGCTTGTCCCCGCTCTTGGGCCTCAAGGTGCTCCAGGGCCACAGAGCTCAGGGTGGGACCATGGACTTTGAATCTGGAATTCTGTGGTTCTGGCTGCACTCTGTCATGACATCCAAAACACTTCGCATGTCATCTTCGATGTGCAGGATGCTCGGGCGCAACCGCGGCCGCCCGCAGGGACCTGCAAGCCGTGAGCCGCCGGTAGCTCCGCCACCAGCACCTCCAGATGGCCCCCCGGGCCCGTCGCAGGACGCGGCTCAAAGGCCGGCAGGAGATGACAGAGCACAATAATTCGGGCCCGAGGCACATTGCAGGTGGTCTGCACTGAACAAGCAGCTTGAGAACGCAGTCCTTCAGCTAGTTGTCAACATACCTATCCTTTCCGAGTCCGACATCCCTCATCCTTGCCTGTGCCACATGTGACGCGCTGCACAGATCGCACACCTGTATTTCGCTAGTTTCATCCACGACGCAAGTTGACCATATGCAGGTGCCTCTGCTCAGGGCCAGTGCCGAATTTCATTTCTTGCAATGCTTGGAAGTTCGCATTTCTGCTTTCTGCCCGGGACGACGATAACGGTATAACCGCTATAGGTTTCGATGGTTAAGAAGGTTGAGCGTGGTGGGCTGATGGTGTTCGGACTGAAGAGAAAGGCACTTCCGTTGGAAGAGAGTAGAAGACGAACGGACCCCTGGCCAAATTCGGACTCCACCGGTCGGACGGACCTGACGTGTACAGGCTTGCTACAAGCTACTTGGGTCGGACTTTCGGAGTTCAGACGATGCAAAACTACATTGAATTTCTATCAAAACAGTTTTAACCTTATGAAAACGATGTTTGGCCGAATTCGTGTTGTGTGTGAGTGCCATTTGTTTTGTCGACCGTCGACTTTTCAGATCGAGCACCGCATAGGCTGGTAGGTCAGGGTCGTACATGCACGGGGAGGGGCGGTACGGGGCGGTACGGGCGGGGCGGTGCGGGGAGGTATACGGGGTGCGGTGCGGAACGCTACGTGCAGACAGGCGACAGAACGGAGCGGTAAAGGTTGGCGGCACGTGGTTCTGAATTCGTGCCCGAGCAAGGTAGAACCACATGTTGCCGTGCAGTGCAGTACGGGGCGTTAGTGGGCAGCACGGTGCGGTCCGGGGTTGTACGCAGCGGCACGGGGCCGGTACGGGTACGGGGCAGTAAGGGAGGCATGGGGCGGTACGGGGCGGTGCGGGCCCGCACGGGGCGGTACGGAACGGTACGGGGGTGTACAGGGCAGTACGGGGCATATGGAAATGGACGCATCAGACACTTGGTCTGTGATTTTGGGAGTCGTGACCATGGTTGGCACTAATCCACATTGACATGGGAAAAATGCCTGTGTCGCGGTACGGGCTGTACGGGGCGGTGCGGGGCGGCACGGGACGGTGCGGAGCGACGCGGAGCGGTACGGAGCGGTACGGGGCGGTACGAGACGTTACGGGGGATACGAGGCGGTATGAGATGGTATGGAGCGGTACGGGGTACGGGCGGCACGGTATGGGCGTCTATGGCAGGCACTGGGGAACCTAACGAAGATGGAAATGCTTTAACACCCATTAAACCCAGCTAGTAAAGCAGGGTGGTTTTGACTTGCCTTGGCGACGTTTCTGTGAGGTACGGGGCGGTGCGGTGCGGTATGGGGTGGTACGGGGTACGGTACGGAGTAGGATTCTAAATTTTGTCGCCGTGGAAACTCGACTCAAAAGGGCAGCGGCGCGGTACGGACGGGCCGGTTCGTATGGGGCGGTAGCGGGCGATACGGAGTGGCGGGCGACAGTTGGCGGTATGGGGCTATGTCAAAATAGGCGGCACGGGCAGACGGAGCAGCACGTGGAGTACGTGGCGGTCTGGGGCGGTACGGCTCTGCAGGGGGAAAGGTTAGTACGGCACGGGCATTAGGAGGGAGGGGTGCGGCACGGGGAGCCTTTAATATTCTCGCCGTGGGCCGCCAGCTGGGAAAATTGATGAATATATCTGGAAAATTTCAAATCGAGCAAACCTCTGGGAAACGAGGGCGGTTCTAGAATTGGGCTTGGCAATATTTCTACGGGTAGAAAGTGGTACGGGGCTGGATATGGCGGGATGGAATTGTACGGGTGCTACGCGGGGATTGGTACGAAGGGACGATAATGGAATTTTTCTTGGCGAGATTTTTGTTCTTATTTTGTTGCTCGGGAGAAATTATGACTGAGAAAATCCCTCTACACTCGGACTAACTCACGGCGATAAAGATGTGTCGACTGAAGATAATTGGATAGACCCTGTGATATATTCTATATATGGCAAAAAATAGAGAAAGATATATATATGTTTCTATAAATATATTTTTTGAATTTTTTTCATGAATGAATAGTATTGGAAGCTAAGATAATATGATTTAATCTCGATAAAATAATAGTATTTTTTTGATTTTGATCTTATTTTTTAGAAATTTTGCGAATATTTAGACGATGAAAATATTGAGGAATAATATAAATTTGATAAATAGATAATAATATCGAATACATAAGATTCGATAAAAAAATATATAGACTTTAGAATATAATGAAATCTGAGTAAATTACGGCGAAATTGAAAATAAGAAAATTAAATTCTATAAAAGAACTTAATTTAAAAAAATAATTCATAATAAGAAGATTGAAATAGATAAGAGATATGGTAAATAAATCTTTTAATTAGAAAGATATTTCATTTAACTATTAATTTAGCGATATGATATTTCTTTTTATATTTAAGGAGTTTATATGAATTTATTTTGCAAGGATATTTCTTTAT